CTCTGTAGAAGAAGTGACCAAGTGTGTTTGCTAGAACGGGTCAGAGGTGCCTCAGTGTACCTTGTCCCAGGCAGCATTAACCAGAGGGTCATGTCCAACAAGGAGACTCACCCCTGCCACACTCCATTCCCATGTTGACCCTTTGCTTCACCAGGGACACAGTCATTGAGTCAAAGGGTGTTCCGCTCTCAGATGCTGTGGAGTGGTCTTTCTTGGTGTTTTCTCTTATAGTGAATAATAGCAATGAAATGTTTCTGGTCACATATCTGCAGAGCATGGTTATATTGATTTCCAAACACAGAAGAGAAAGCCAATTATTGAAGGAAAAAAAGAAAAAAGGAGATGAAAACAATGAAAAAGATAAATGTAGATTTGAATTTAAATTCTAACTCTCTTGGAAGAAAAAAGATGTCTCTGCTTTCGTTTTGATGCATTCCTGCTTCAACAGAGAAATCTTCTGTTTGGGTTATTCCTTTCTGTGGGGACTGGCGAGAGTCTAGAACTGACGCGGAGTTTAGCCTTCCTGAGGCATTTACTGGCAGTCTGCCCTTTACTGATTTGGCCTCAGATACTGCATTTGCGATACTCTGCTTTTTTTGTGTGTGAGTGAGGAAGATCAGCCCTGTGCTAACATCTGCCAATCCTCCTCTTTTTTTTTTTTTGCTGAGGAAGATTGGCTCTGGGCTAACATCCGTGCCCATCTTCCTCCACCTTATATGGGATGCTGCCACAGCATGGCTTGCCAAGCGGTGCGTCGGTGTGCGCCCGGGATCCGAACCTGCGAACCCCGGGCCACCGCAGCAGAGCGCGCGCACTTAACCGCTGCACCACCAGGCCGGCCCCTGCTTTTTTTTTTTAACTGACCTATTGTTCTCTCCCTAGCATGTTCTGGAATATTATCCCAAGGAATATTTTGTTCATCGCTAATTTAGATGTTTTGCCTTCCCTTGCTCTCCTGAGGACTTCCTCTCTGTTTATGTCTGCCTTGGGCCTCCTCTGCCCCGTTGTCTCTGGGTGGCTAACAAAAGCCACAGTTTTAAAGAACCTCAACCTTCAGTGAAGTTCATGAGCTCCAGTCTCAGAGAAGGCTCAATGACAGTTCGAAATGAAATGACTCCGGAGCGGCAGGTTGAGCCATGGGCACCTGGGTTGAATCAGGACACCTGGCTTCTAGGCCCCTGACTGTTTTATGACCCTGAGCAAATGCACTGTTTCTCTGGGTACGGTTTCCTCATCTCTGCAAGGAAGATGCACCAAGTCGGCTGTCAGTTTGGACAATCTGGATTATATTCTAAGCCTTATTTGTTGTTTTTCAAATAATTTCAGGGTTACCTCCTTTCTACCAAGAAAATACTGAGTTTGATGCATGCATGACCATGTTTTTGTTTTATGTTTTTTACTTTTATATTTTTACATTTTACGTAAGCAATAAATGCACATAGGAAAACATTAAACAGTATAGAAGAGGAAAGGAAAGATATCCTCCCTTCCCTGATACCCAGTTTCCTCTCCAGAGGCGCCCACTGTTACCAGTTCCTTGTGCATCCTTCTAGAGAGATTGGCTGTGTGTGTATAACATGTGCCTCCCCCGCCCCCCTTTTCTGACTATAAATAGTAGCATGCTCATACATATAGTTCTGTCCCTTGGATTTTTTTACCCTCTGGACAATGTTTCTTAGAGATTGTTGCGTGTAAGTACCTACAGAGCTCCCTCATTCTTTGCAATACTTCCGTGGAATCCCTCTGAGTGGATGGATCATAATCTCCCATGGGTGGACATCATTTTTAGTCTTTGGCTGTTACAGACAATCCTGCAGTAAGTATTCCCACACAGATTTCTCTGCTGGTGTGTTGTGCTTTACTTTGAAAACAAAGCCATTGTCTAAGTTCCACTCTTTTCCAGTTTCTGTAGTTAGTAACTGGAGACGTTTAGTCTGAATGGTCAAATGTCCATTAAGTGGACGGAAGCAGCCTCTCCACCACTCCTCCCTGTGGGTGTCTCTGTAGGGGCTGCTGCTTTGAAGACCAGCAGGGTGTGGTTGGGAAGAGCTCTCCAAGTCAGACTGCCCCAGATAAGGATGCAGACATTAGTGAAATCTGCCGAGCAGCGTCTGGGTGCTGTGTGGGGTGGAGTAACAAAGTCCACTATGGGTGAACCCAGCGCAGAGCTTGTACACTGACAGGCGGCCTCCCAAGTCACTGAAGAGAGTCCTGTGCCAATTTTGTCATGTCAGTAAGTTACCAGACTCCAGTCAGTTTTTAAAATTTTTTGAAGTATCTGAGTTATAAAAATTAACGTAGAGTTAATAGCCTCTGAGTTGCCAACAAAAAAAATTAACCTTTTCAAGCCTCTTTTTCCTAATGTGGGGATTTCTGATATTAGAAATATTCAGTTTACACATTTCTCTTATAGACACAATTGGGCATCTTTTTTGTCTGTAGTCGTTACATCAGAAAAATAGGAGCATCCTCTTTTAGGAGGTTCAGAAATGACTGTCTCGGGCCGGCCCCGTGGCTTGGCGGTTAAGTGCGCGCTCCGCTGCTGGCGGCCTGGGTTCGGATCCCGGGCGCGCACTGGCGCACCGCTTGTCCAGCTATGCTGAGGCCGCGTCCCACATACAGCAACTAGAAGGATGTGCAGCTATGACATACAACTATCTACTGGGGCTTTGGGGGAAAAAATAAATAAATAAAATTATAAAAAAAAAAAAAAGAAATGACTGTCTCTGGAAATAATCACTATTCTTCCGTCTAAGCTTCCTCTCCCCAGCCTGAAAGAGGTCTTATGAATTTCGCCTTTCTGGATACCTGGACTTTGTCTACTTGAATCTGTATTTAAGAGAACTTTTCCCTGTAACACAGTGTGCGCTCATTCCCTGACCTCCACCCAGACCTTCAAATTGAGATTGTAATTACGCTCGAACAAGCCGTAGAAGTGAAATACTCATTTTAGTTGTTTTGGAATCAACGCGACTGTGCTTTTTGCCTGTTCTCAAACTCAGAACATAAGAAACGCCCAGCTGGTTTCCTCCATTAACCCAAGCTTCCCTCTGTGCCAAGGTGAGACCAGTTCCTTGGGGTGGGCTTAATTCGGGAGGGGAACCTGAACTGTTCGGGCAGAATTCTCCAAGAATTCTTACCTTCCTCTTGGGCAGCTCGGTGCAGAGCAGAGTTGTCAGTCTATCCAGACCCTCCTGGAACCTTCCTGTTCGTACCCTTTGGGCCCAGGTCCCTGATTTGATGACTGCTGTTTAAGGGGTACTGCCTTGTGGTCGAAGGCAAACTGTGTTTAGAGGGTTGCTCTCAGGCTCAGCCGCATTCCTGTTCTTCAGTAAGGCACGGCAGAGGGCGGCCAGGGACGGTGGAGAGGGCAGGAGCACGGGTGTCGGGGCTCGAGAACCAGAGCCTGCCCTGCGCCTCTCAGGGTTCCAGTCTTTCTTCCATGAAATAAAGGGGTGGACTAAATAATCTGCAAGAATCCTGCGAAGCCTCACATTGTAGCCACACATCCGCACAGAACAACCCACCTCATTTCTTCGCACGTTCCTTTCAGCGGCCCGTTAGTTCCCTTGAGGGCAGGAGCCACTTATCCAGCTACAAACCCAGTGCCTCGCCCCGTGGGAAGGCCAATAAAGATTTCAGAGAGTTATAAATAAATTTTAAAAAAAGAATGTTTCTACCCCACCTCTACCCATATCCAGAGGAAGTTCCTGCCATGGAATTAGTTGTTCCTTGAGGAAACCAATTCTTCTGTAGAAAATTTTTAGTATCGGTACTATCTTTTGAATGTGTATGTGTGTGTGTGGTCTACATATACATTTTTAATAGTTATTAGGCTACTTTAAATTCGTTTAAGAAAATTTAGATATGAACATGTTGCCACATGATGTCGATAGCAAACTGAAGATCTAAAATATTTAACTTTTCGACTTTAAGTGAAATAGGTCAATAATTTTATATTTTAAAGGTAATGATACCAAATATAGCAAAAATTGAGAGTTTTTTTTCTCAGAAATGAAGTAAGTATATAAAATTATAAGTTGTTGCCTTTGGTCCTGACCTATGAGCAAATAGAATGAATAGCATGGTTTTCATTATTACAGGATAGTGCCCAGGCAGAAGTTAAGCAAATTTGACTGGGAAACCGTTTTGAGAAAAACTAACACTTTTTAAAATGCATTTTTTGTGGGAATGCCAATTTTAGAATTTATTAAAGGATTTTTCAATTCTTTTCTAACGTGAAGTACTACATGCTAAAATTTAAAATGTTGGTAAATGCAGATAAAAGGAAAATCCTTAAAAAGTGGAAAACACTTCTAGGGCCTTTATCTAATCACAAACACAGTTAGCACTTTTATGTAATTTCTTCCTCACTAATTTTTCCCTTTGCAAAAATTGAAATGTTTTTTCTTGGTCAGTTATTTGTTCCTTAGCTCATGCTTCTTTGGAGCACCCTTTTTGACGAAGTATTGATGGGGTCCTACTTGTGTGCAGGTCCTGGATCCACGTGCTGTGTTTTGCATGTTGCTTGTCAATTCGCTTGTCCGTCGTAGATATCACGTACCCCCTCCGTGTGTCTGTGGTCGCACGCCCTCCCTAGTTTGCCATGAACCTACAGGTTGTCTGAGAAAGTGCACACATACCCAGATGTCCTGGTGAATTATCTCGTATGTTGTGGTAACCTTTGTGGAATTTACTTTTGGCCACTGTGTTCTATGAGAGGCTTAAAATGTATTCTGGACACAGGGCAGGTGTGAAATAAGACTTTTAACAGGGCACAAAAGCCGAGACTAGATGAGTCAGGAGTGGGGCCGGTATCTAAGCCTCCATGAATTGAATTAAGGTAATAATTACTTAAACAGTAATGATTAACAGGCAAGTACTTTGGAAGGAATCTCAGGAATCTATACTCCAAAGCACAAAGCATTCTGATGGTCTCTTTTTGATAAGGTGTTGTTGGCCCTGGTCATGAATCTCCTTTATGTTCTTCCCTCCTGTAGTGATGAGTCACCAACACCAGCAGCAGATGGCACCCAGTACCCTGAGCCAGCAGAACCACCCTACTCAGAACCCGCCAGCGGGGCTCATGAGTATGCCCAATGCGCTGACCACTCAACAGCAGCAGCAGCAGAAACTTCGGCTTCAGAGGATCCAGATGGAGAGAGAGAGGATTAGAATGCGCCAAGAGGAGCTCATGAGGCAGGTACGGCCTTCCGTGGTGCTGGTGGAGGCTCCGTGGTCTTTGGTACCAAGGCTAGTGGGTAGGTAGCTGCTAGCCATCAGGGTAAATCTTCCTCTAGAAGCATTCAAGGCCCGAAGTCCTACTCCAGCCTCGTGAGTGGCATCCAGTTTCTTCTTCATCATCTGTCTGCACTGTCTTCAGAGCCAACCTTATGAGTACAAGGACTAGCTATATGAGCATGGCTGCCTTGGGGGTCTACCGCCAGTCTTTAGAAGGAGAGAAAGAATATGTTCCAATTATCTATTTTTGTGTAACAAATTATTCCAAAACTTATTGGCTGAAAATAATAGCTATTTCATTCTACCACGCCATTTTATGGGTCAGGAATTTGGGCAGGGCTCAGCTGGGCAGTTCTTCTGCTCCTCAGGGTACTGACTGAGCTCACTTGGTGGTATTCAGCTGGTGGGTGGGCTGCTCTGGAGGGTCCAAGATGGCTTTACTCAAGTGAGTGCACCATAGTGAGGACAGCTGGGCTTAGCTGGGGCTAAAACCTGGTGCATCTACACTGGTGTCTCTAGCAGGACAGTCTCAGAGTAGGGGACATATTACACAGCAGCTTAGGTCTCTCTGAGAGAATGTTCCAAGACACAGGAAATGGAAGCTGCCACTGTCTTAGGGTCTGGCCCTGGAAACTGTCACAGAGTCACTTCTGCCATATTCTCTCGGTCAGGAAGTCACAGAGCTCCCCAGGTTAAAGCAGATAGCGGAGGGGATGTTCCATGGAAGAAATGACAGAGAATCTTCAACCATCTTTCGTCTACCATGGAGCATGAAAAAGAGTTAGGGAAAATGGAAGGAGAGTGAGAAAGGAAGATGGTTTGCACGTGGACTCTGATAGAGTGGTCTGCAAAACTGCCTAGGCATCGATCGGGCACCTTTGTGCCGTCTTCCATTCATTCCTTCGTTTGTTCGTTCATTCATTCAGTCAACAGGATGTTGCTGTGTATTCTCTGTGGGTCAGGCTCTGTGCTGCGCTGCAGAAAATGAATACAAGTGAATCCCTGAAGGAACCCACAGTTTCTCCCGGCTCCAGCAGCTTGTTCTATGCGAGAGCAGAACTCTCTTCTGTGTTGCTAAACCAACGTAGCCCATGTTTGTGGGTCTCATAAATTTTGCTGGCTACATTTTGCGGAGGAAAGTTTATTGTTCTAATTCTTCAGACTTTGTTTTATGACTCACATGAAGCAAGATACATGGGTAGCTTCCTTTCACTCATTTAAGGAAATAAGTAGTTTTAACTGTTTTGGAGAACTTTCTTGCAGGGGGCTGGGGATGTTAAGGTAAATATTGTTTTTTCTTTTAGTTACATCTGATACTTTCAAAAATATACATTGACTTCCGTAAATGAATAATGTATTTCTTTTATTTATTTATTTATTTTTTTTTAGATTTTATTTATTTTATTTTTTCCCCCCAAAGCCCCAGCGGATAGTTGTATGTCATAGCTGCACATCCTTCTAGTTGCTGCATGTGGGACTCGGCCCCAGGATGGACGGAGAAGTGGTGCCTCGATGCGCACCCGGGATCCGAACCCGGGCCACCAGCATCGCAGCGCGCGCACTCAACCACCAAGCCACAGGGCCGGCCCGAATAATGTATTTCTTATCAAATAAATTCTAGGATTATAAAGTATCCTGTGTGAGGTTTAAAAAACATGATGAATTAAAATACTTCCTTAGACATCCTGTTTGAAAATGAGGGAAATAAATATAAATTGTGCTTTGTTGTTTAGTTGAACTATCCTCTAAATTTGAGGACTATAACTTTATAATATAACTACAGTTGTGCCTCTTACCCTGAGGATTTGTGTCTGAACTTCATGGTTATTTCAGGGTGACAGTTGTTTATACTGTTTTTAGATATTCAGTGTCATGTTTCTTAGCAGGGAAAACCGTATTATTGTTTTCTGTCTTTGGATAATAATTCCATTTGGAATAATTTTTCTATTTTAAAATGTAGAGTAAATTAAACCACATTCTGGTAGCATTTATAAGTTTTCTCTTGGTTTTTTATTTAAATGAATTTTGTTTTTTTTTTTTAACACAAAGCTATGACCGTTCTGCAAAGCATGGCTTGTTTCTCAGTTTCTTTCTCTTTCTGTGTTTCTCTTTTGCTTTGCCCCACCGCCTTCTTTCCCACAGAAAGTATTTCTGAAAAGGGGTGGAGGTAAGAGCCCCAGATTGTTTCCTTTGTTCCAACGGTAGGTGCCTTTGAACCAGAATGTAGTACTGATGGTTCATATTACAGAAATGCCAACCAAGTTCCTTAAATGCTGATCCCGACAGACGTGGACTTGCAGGATTTTGCTGCCTCACAGTGTGTGATTCCACTGTAGGGGACAGCAGGGAGAAATGCCATCCAGATTTGCTCCCAGAAGCTCACTTATTTCAGCTTTGACTGTGTGTGTGTGTGTGTGTGTGTGTGTCCGTGCGTGTGTAGTTAGGAGGAGGAGAGGGGATGGAATGGATAGTTCTGATGTCTTTTTATTTTTATTATGGAATATAGGAAAAAAGGTCTAAAGACACTTTTTAATCATGGAAGATTTTTTTCCCTATCCAGAAGCAGCCTGCTCCTCGGTGTCAGTGCCATACGATAGATGGTGTTGGAGTGTTCCCTGATAGTTTTCTGGGGCGTTTGCCAAGATGCCTGGTTGTCAGGTGTGGGTTATGTGTTGTATATTATTGGTGGGTTTTCACTTCTTTCTTCTGGTGATTTTCTGCCTCCCTGTGTGCATGTAAGCCAGGACAGGGGCAGGGAATTGGACTGGCAGTAAAAGTGACATTTGGCTCACCTGTTTAGCTGCCTTCCAGCCGCTGGTAGACACTATACAGAGGGAGAAAACGGTGGTCCTGCTGAGGTCTGAAGGTTATCTGTCGACTTCGTTCGTTCATTCAGTCCCACCCCCATGTGCTCATAGTCCACGACTGCCTGACTGTCCTCTGCTCACTGGGCAGTTTGTGACTCCCCTGGCTCTCCTCTCGCCTGCAGGAGGGCCCTGGTGGTGCAGCCTATCTCCCCAAGGTCCTTGCCCTGCAGGCAGGCCTCGACCTTCCTGCAACTGTATCAAGGGAGAATTTCCAGGAGAGGCCCCATCCTCTGTTTTATCTCTGTAGTAGGAAGGGAGGTTGGTAAAATTTAGTAAGTAGTTGAATTTATTACCTAATTCTTGGGAAATCATCACTGCTCTGTATGTTTTTTTTTTTTTTATCATTCTTAAATATATGATAAATATGAAAGCTCCCTATAAATTATATGCTATAGAAATATTCAGTTTCATTTCTTCTTCCTTCTCCCATGCCGTTATTTCTCTAGGCATACAGTCTGATGATGTTGTGCCGTGGAGCAAACAACTCCTCAGCCCTCGTTACACAATCTGACCTCCCCTCCAACCCCCTCAATGCCAAGGACTCAAGTGTTAACTCATTGTCACTGAAATCACACCAGGATATTAACAAATGGATTTGAGGACGTTTGATTACAGATCTAAAGTGAACCTCCATTATTTCAGGATGGAAAGTTACTTTTTTTGTTTCTTCCATCCTTTATCTCCTCATTTAACCAACATTTATGTAGTGGAAAATAATAAAAAGATAAATGGGATATGGCTGCCCTCAGATAACTTATATTTTAGCAGAGGAAACAAAATGATGAAATGTAATCCAAATTGGTGGCCAGAGGGTAAATCCAAACCATTCCCTACTCCATGGGGGCCCACTGCTGCCATCTTTGACTTTCATTGTTGGAGTGGAGACCAGACACGCCAGAGCTCAGTCCTATGAAAGTGAGCATAAGATGCTGCTTTACTTCTTTTCAGTGGCCCCTCTGGCCAACGAGTTGCATAGCTACAGAATTAGAATCCAAAGGGCTGGTGAGGTTTGGTATCTCCCCCTATTAGGAATCTCCTGAAGTAGGAAATTCGTTCAAGATGGTCCCTACCATTTAGCATTGGCTGCTGTAGCAACAGAGCTGAACTACTTGTATCTGATCACTGATGAATGGTCTCGGGATGTGGCAGGGGCTCCGAGTGGAGGGCGCCACGAGCACGAGGGGACCCCGGCCAGGTCTGCAGCACACAGCCTCATCAGGAAAACGGATCTTTCTCTGCTTTCAGCTGACCTTGTGGAGACTGAATTTTTGTGAAAGACATTCTCCATTTTGTGAAAGACTGTTCGTGATAATAAGTTTTATTTTTGCCAAATTTCCCAAAAGGCCGTGAAGGTTCGTCAGAGAAATGATGACCCTAGAAAAGAGAGGGAGCTCAGTGCAAGGTATACTTCCTGGCGTCTAAATATTTTTAAAAAAGAAATTAGAATTCAGCTTGTAGAATTTTTTTCTTTTTAAGTAGAAAAATTGTTTTTAATTTTTAAAAGTATAATTGACTAGATTTTTTTTTTTTCTCACTAAGATAAAAGAAAGCATTTTGCTAAGTGAAAGAAGCCAGACCCAGAAAGGCTACATCCTGTGTGATTCCATTTATGTGACATTCTGGAAAAGGCAGAACTATAGGGACAGAGCACAGATAAGTGGTTGCCAGGGTTGGGGGTGGAGGGGCAACACGAGGAATTTGGGGGCTAATGGTGCTGTTCTGTGTCCTGGGTGGGGTGGCTGTTTCACAACTGTGTGTGTTCTAAAACTCAGAAGTGTACACGACGGAATGAATTTTTCTCTGTGTAAATTAAAGTAATAATAAAGTAAGATTATCACACAAAAAAACAAAACACGCATTCAATGTAGAAAATTTTTTAAATACTCAGAAACAAGAACATTATAATCGTTCATATTCTTACCTTGAGAGAGTGGCTCTGAAGATGGTGATTTCTTTCCCATCTTTCACAAGACACAAAACTGTGGTTTTTAAAACAAAATTGGGGGGCCGGCCCCGTGGCTTAGCGGTTAAGCGCGTGCGCTCCGCTACTGGCGGCCTGGGTTCGGATCCCGGGCGCGCACCGACGCACTGCTTG